GGGGGGGGAATTGATGGGATTAGGCCTAAATTTCAAAGATCCTAAGGAAGAGTTGCATTTTAGGTAAATAAATGCTGGATGTCAGCAGAGAATTGGTGAATTTAACTCTAGATGAAGACTGATAATGGGGAAAAAATTGGATAATTGAGTATATAAAGTAATCTGTGATTAAGAATACAAGGTTCAGGGCTGGAGAGACGGCTCAGAGGTTAAGAGCACTGGCTGTTCTTCCAAAGATCCTGAGTTCAATTCCCAGCAACCATATGTGTTGGCCCACAACCATCTATAATGAGATCTGGTGCCTTCTGTCATACAGGTGTACATGCAGGCAGAACACTGTATACATAATAAATAAATAAATCTTTAAAATAAAAAAGAATACAAGGTTCAGTTGGGTGGTGGTGTACCCCTTAATCCCAGCTCTCTGCATATCTCTTTGAGTTTGTCTACAGAGTGAGTTTTAGGACAGCAATGGCTATACAGAGAGACAAAAACAAAAAAAAAAAACTCGAGGTTCTTAAAATGACAATTGTATCTATAGTACAACACTCTGGAGGCAGAAGCAAGCAAATCTGTGTAAGAACCTGATCTACATAGCAGTTTCCAGACAGGTATGGGCTGCAGTATGGCCCCAATAATAAGATATAGCTATCAACTAAAGAATTGTTTATAATAGTAGTTTTCATATTTAAACACTATTTCAAAGAGTTTGCACACTTGGTGGTGCTGGAAATTGATGCCACATGATTTTAGTAGACTTAAGTAACACTTAAAATAAGCAAAATAGTCTTGTTTTACAGATTAAGCAGCAGAAGCTCAGAGACAGTCTTACTCATAGTTGCACAGCTAATCTTGTGGAGCACTGTCGAGCCGGTCTTCCTATCCCATGGGCTCCCTTCCTATCACACTGGAAAATCTATTACTTAATCTTGTTCATCTGTTATGTGTGGAGCACAACGTGGCTCTTTCAGATGTAGATTGAAAATAAGCTAAATATTTCAAGAGGTGACTTTTTTTTTTTTTTGTCACCAGTGGATTTACTTGTATTTTTACAGAACTTAAAATATTTTCTCCCTGAAATGACAATTTATCAGTAAGCAAAGTCCTTCATTAAAATCAAACAGACTTTAATAGTAGGTGTTTCATTAAGGAATTGCCAACTTATTAGGCATGAGAACGTGGGTTTTAATTTTTTTTCTCATAGGTATTTGAGAATAAATGGACATTTTCATGGGGCGAGGTTGTGGCTCAGTAGTAGAGTGGCTCCCTAGCATTCAGGCACCTGTGTTCCATCTGCAGCAACACACACACACTTAACACCAGAAAGGAAGGAATTTTGGGTAACAGAATTAGTTCCCAGTTGTTAATTGTAGAAGCCAGCTGTAGCTTTTAAGTTTTTTCACAAGTAATTGTGGGAGGTTTGGGTGGTTTGCTTTTTTTTTGTTTGTTTGTTTGGTTTTTGGTGGTTTTGTTAATTTACCTGCTTGTTTTCTGGAGACAAGTGCTCATTCTGAAGCCCAGGCTATTCTCATTGCCTAAAACTGGAAATACCTTCTCTGTTGCCCAAGTGCTAGCAGACTCCTTATCTATGTTAATCCTCCTTGCTGGCTCATGCTACAAATACTTACCTATGCAAGCACTGAAACACGCAGTGAACACCACAGAGTCTGGAATTTTTGTGGATACGGACAAAATTTCAATTGTTTCAGCAGACTTTCTCCTCCCCTCCCAGCACCTTACCTCTTTAGTCCTAAAGACAGAATCTTATTGTTTCCTAGGCTGACCTAGAACTCTTGGACTCCAACTACCAACCTGCTTCAATTTCCTGAGTAACTGGGACTACAGGTATGTGCTGTTGTGCCTAACTTGGCTTTTATTCCTAATGTGGAAGTTCTATATAAGTTTAACTGTAGCATAAACATAAATCTTTATGGCACAGCTTGAACATTAATGTCTTTATCTCTGAGAAAGAAAAATTCTTATGTAACAGTATAAAACACTGGGTAGTAAATCATGTAGCAAAAGGGACATTGCTTTTCTTAATCACTGTGATCTCCCAAATCTAACTTCCACGTTAAAACTAATGTGTCAGTGCGGGTTTTTTAATCCCTCCCTCTTTCTTTCGTCCACCCATTCTCCCAGCCTCAGCCCCACAGCATGGAACCACAGGTTACTTTAAACGTGACTTTTAAAAATGAAACTCAAAGCTTTCTGGTTTCGGATCCAGAAAATACAACTTGGGCTGATGTTGAAGCTATGGTGAGTATCATTCTGTTCCGTTTCTCACTTTGTTCTGTTTCTTAGTGGTTTAGACACAGATATTCTTCAAAAAATGAAGCTATTTTTAGCGGTTTATTTCATAACTGTTGTTTGTCATCATTACCATTTCTGGAGCTTTGGAAAATTATTTTTTATATGGGCTCAGTATTTGAATAGGAAATGTACCAGGATAAAGGGAAGAAATGACCATGTTCTTTAAACATTTTTTAATTATGTATGTTTATTTAAAAAAAAAAAGAGAGAACATAAGTTTAGGTCAATTTCAGGAGTGGGTTTTCTCTCTCTTTGTCTACTGTATCAGGTAAACTTATTTTTTGAGTGAAATATGGTGTAGGAACATTCTGAGGGATAAATTAGGTTGTCTTCCCTGAAGCCAGGCTGTGGGGGAATTTTCTCAGGCTGGAGAGCAGATGAATTGCTGCTGTTTGTTAACGAATGAGGATATGACTTGTGTTTTGCAAGACCTGCTTGTTGCTAGGTCAAAGGTTGACTGTGTCAGAGCTGGCAAAAAGCAAAAGAAAACCTCCCATGGGTGCTTATGAAGCATCCGTTCCTTGCTTTGCTGATAATTTCTCTCGCCTTGGTTTGCCCTTTGTACCCTTCTAGCATAGTGGGGTTTGCTGTGGTCAATGTTTTACTACTTGGGCGCGTGTGTTTAAAGTAACCATTTGGTTACAAACGTGGTTGTCTGTGTGGGCAGCTTAGGAAGGAAGGAGATTTTAGAAGGGCTTTCCACTGTGTTAAGTCTAGTCCTACCTCCCAACGTTTTTCCTCTGGACTGTCCTAGGGGAAAGGCTGTTGGGAAAGCACCAGTTACCTTTTTTTCCCTAGTAGCTGGTGAGTTGGCGGCTTACCTTTTTCTTTTATTGTAAAATTTTAAGATATAAAAGTGTAATACATGCCCATTTAATTTTTGAATTTATTTTTAATTTATATAGTCACTTTACTTCCCAGACATAGCCTCCTCCCTCTTCTCTTCCCTCCTCCCACCCTTTTCCCCTTAATCCCCTTCTCAGAAAAGGGGAACCCCACCACCACTAAGTCCCCCCAGCACATCAAGTTGCATCAGGATTGAGCTCATCCTCATCCACTGAGGCCAGGCCAGGCACTTCTCAAGGGAGAAGTGATTTAAAAAGCAGGCAACAGAGTCCATGCCATAAACAGCACCCACTCAACTCACTAGGGGACCCACAGGAAGATTAAACTGCCCATTAGCTACACGTGTAGAGGCCCAGGTCCAGTCCATGCATGCTTCTTGGTTGGTTCTTCTGACTCTACAAGCCCCCATGGGTCTAGGTTAATTGACTGTTGGTCTTCTTGTGACATTTCTGTCCCCTCCAGGTACTTCCATCATTCTTCCCACTCTTCCACAGGACTCCCCGAGCTCCGAGCTCCGCTAATGCTTGGCTGAGTCTAAGCTTCTGATTCCACCAGCTGCTGAGTGGGGCCTCTCTGATGACAGTTATGCTAGGCGTATGTAAGCGTAGCAGAGTATTGTTAATGGTGTCGGGGCTGGCTCTCTCCTATGGGGTGGATCTCAGGTTGGGACAGTCATTGGCTGGCCATTCCCTCAGTTTCGGTCTTTATTTCTGCAGGCAGGATAAATTTTGGGTAGAAGATTTTGTAGGTAGATTGGTGTTCCCCTCCCACCACCATAAGTCCTGTTTGACTAGAGTGAGGCCTCCTTAGTCTCCATGTCTCCCACTGCTGGAGGGCTCAGCTAGAGACATCCCCAAGTCCTCTCTGTAGCCTATTCTGTCCCAGGTTTCCAGCTTGTCTCAGAGATACCCTCATCCTGATATGAAACACTCTTAACAAGTAAAGAGATAATGTCTGTCCACAAACTCCTACCCTGTGTCTGTTATTCACACCTCCTTTGAGTGACAGAGATAACAGCTCTGGGAACTTACCCACATTTCCATATTCCATGTTCATGCAGGTATCTGTTAAGGCCTTACAGTAAGCCTGTTTTCCAGCTTGCTTTTCTTGCCCAACAACATTTTGTAGCTGTAATTCTTTTTTTGTTTGTTTGGGGTTTTTTTGTTTGTTTGCTTTTCTGAGACAGGTGTTATAGTAAATAAAAAAATGAGTATTGGGCTATATTATGTTTATTATTAGCCCTATGATTATCACGGCAGTATTATTTAACCCACTATCACAAATAATAAAACACAGATACCTGTTAGATTTTATAATCGCCTTATTTACCTTAGGCCGGGCAGATATTTTACCTACACTATCTCAATATCCTCACCATCCATCTCCCAGGCCTCATTCAGTGCCATCCAGCGTAATCCTTCCTAGCTGGACTACCTTCTATCCATATCCCCTAGTACTTGCTTGTATTCTTCATGTGGGCCTTTTTACGCCATAATTGGAGTCCTTCCTTTCAGCTCACGAGGTTTTTTTCTCCACCCTAACACATTGTGTTGTCCTCCTTCCTTCTCTTTTCCCATCCATCTGATTCCTGTGATTCTCTCTGGAACCCAAAAGCTCAGAAACCTTAGCCACGCCTATCCCATTCTGCCCTGCCCAGGTATAGGCCATTTAATCAAGCAATCAGGTATGTCTTAGGCAGGTTTACAAAACAAGGGTAGGTGTTACCAGATCTTGAAGGCCAGTAACATGCATCAAACCGACCTTTAATAGACAGGGTTTCTCTATGTAGCCTTGGCTGCTCTGGACATTGTTTGTAGACCAGGCTGGCCTTGAGCTCATAGCAGTCTGCCTGCCTCTGCCTCCCTGAGTGCTGGGATTAAAGGCATATGCCACCATGGCAGGCTACAGCAATAGTTCTTAATCAGTAGACACAGAGCAAAGCTCCGTCTTTTAAAGCTGGGGTCCAGGGTACTGCTGGTGTTGCTGACCACTGTGGATGTAACCATTACTTACTGACTTCCCCACACGGTTGTCTTTCTTTTCCCATTATGAAATAGACAGAATCTACATCTCTCAGTGGGGATAGCTTATGTATTGTTCTATTGGGTGGACTCTACCCAAAGGTGAGATGTGGTTTTGAACTTTTAAAAAAATTGTTTTTATTGTTTTTTTATATTAGTGTGTGTGTGTGTGAGAGAGAGAGAGAGAGAGAGAGAGAGAGAGAGAGAGAGAAATGGTTACTTCCTTCAACCTTTATGTGAGTTCCGGGGATCAAACTCAGGTTAGGCTGGCTGGTGGTGGTGCTCGCCTTTAATCCCAGCACTCGGGAGGCGGAGGCAGGTGGATCTCTTGAGTTTGAGGCCAGCCTGGTCTACAGAGCAAGCTCAGGACAGCCAGGGCTACACATAAAAACCTGATCTTAAAAAAAAAAAAAAAGTTAGTAGACTTGTGTATAAGTACTTTACTAATTAAGTCATTTCATTGGCCATTTCATAAGCCTATAAAAATTTTAAATTTTTATAGATGGAGGCTAGAGAGATGGCCCAGGGATTATGAACACTGGTTGCTCTTCCAAGGGATCTAGTTAGATTTCCAATATCCAGATGGCAGTTGCAGAACTGTTAGATACTCTCTTCTGTCCTCTGCCTGCATAGACATTCACAGGATGCACATGCACAGACATACATGAAGGCAAACCCCTATACACACAAAGCAAAATTCAGAACATTTCATCGATAACTGCCAAATGGTTCACAGAATAACTATAACAATTTACAGAAAAATTATTTAATGCTTTGAGTTTTGCTTTGTTTGTGGTGCTGGGGGGTCAAGCATGGGTCCTTCTCCATGCTAGACCAGCACTGTACCACTGAGTATGGCCCTTGCCCTGAATCTTTGACCACACTTATCTATTACAGCTTCAAAAAATGTTTACCGCTGGGCATGTTGGCACACATCTTTAATCCTAGTGCTTGGGAGGCAAAGGCAGCCTGATCTCTGTGAGTTCAAGGCCAGCCTGGTCTACAAAGTGAGTTCCAGGAGCCAGGGATGTCTCAAACCTTGCCTACCAGTAAAATTGAATGTGTTTTTATGTATTTATTAAGCATTTCTGTTTCCTCCCTGTAATTTTTCTGCACATTTTACTTGTATTAATATATTTGTTAACCTTTTTTTTTTCTTTTAAGTCTCTTTATCTATCTCTGGCTGTTCTAGAACTCACTATGTAGACTAGGCTAGCCTCAAACACACAGAAATCCACCTCCCTTTGCCTCCTACGTGCTGAGAGTAAAAGCTTGAAGATGTGCATTAGCACACTGGGCCTTTGGATTATGAACCATCAGATCTGTCCGTTTTGATGCTCTTTTATGTCTTTTATTACTCCCTTCCCTATTGCCACTTACAAACGTTTACTCTTAGTCTGCTTTCTTTGACTTTGTAGGTTTTTAAATCTATGTTAAGATGTTTTCTGGGAATGTAACTTCGTGAAGGGCTCATTTGGCATTCACAGAACTCTGTGTTGAATCTCCAGCATCACACACACACACAAAATGAATGTAAGGGGCTGAGGAGAGGGCTCTTTGGCTTAAGCCCTTGCTGTGCAGGTGTGTGTAAAGTGTGTGTTAATGTCTGTCTTAGTCAGTTGCTTGGGACGCCCATACTGCCTGACTAGACTAGCCCAGTTGGTGAGCTCTGGGTTCAGGAGATATCTTCAGGCTGCAAGAGCTGTGGTATTAGAAAGGTCGCCACACTATTGGTGGCGCAGGCAGAAGACTCTAGCTCCACCATTACCACTAATACATGTAATGTTTGGAAAATTCATAGTCAATAAAGATAGTTACAATGTTTAACTTTATATAGTGAGATACCCTGATCAATTTGTTTCATTTGCAGGTAAAAGTTTCATTTGATCTGAATAATATCCAAATAAAATACTTGGATGAGGAAAATGAGGAGGTAAAGTATTTGCGGACCCCATTATTAGATATTTAGAATCGGGATCTTTTCCAAAGTGATAAGAGCTTTAAAAGTTCAGAATAAGCTGGGTGCGGTGGTATACACCTGTTATCTGTGAGGCAGAGGCAGGCCAATTTCTGTGAGTTCAAGGCCAGCCTGGTCTACAAAGCAAGTCCAGGACAGCCAAGGCTACAAAGAAACTCTGTCTTAAAAAAACAAAACAAAACAAAAAAGTTCAGAATAAAGCCCATTGTAATGGCTCACAGCTGTCTTCCCAGTACATAGGAGACTGAGGCATGATCCTAGGAAGTTTAAGCCAACCTGGGCTTAGAACAGAAGCCTATCTCAAAGAGCCATGAGGGGAAGGAACAGAAAAAACAAAAGAAAGAAAAAAGTTCATAATAGTATTATCTCATTTGCCTAATATTTTAAATGTATTTGTTAATTGCATACTTCATAAAGATTGTTGGCCAGGAAGCAGAGGCAGGTGGATTCTCTGAGTTCAAGGTCAGCCTGGCCTACAGAGTAAATTCCAGAACAACCAAGGCTACACAAACCCTGTCTCAAAAAAAAAAAAAAAAGAAAGAAAGAAAGACTATAAGCATCTGAGATGAAGCTGAGAAATGGGAAAGCGACATGAAGACATGAAGACTATCAGAGAGAGAACCTAAAATATAACAAGGCTGTCGCTTAGCTTATGCTGCTGCTAATAGGGACTCTTAACTAAGTGGTTACCGAGCATCATACTATCAGTACTGTTCACCTGGGACATTCTCTTCATTTACCATGAAGAAGCAGTGGCTCAGAGGTCAGGAATCTGATCCAGAGGCACAAAAGTAAGGAAGTAGAGGCCCCAAATCCCAGGCTCTTGTCCCTAAGATAAAACAGAGCTCATTACTTCTGGGAATAGTGGGAATACTGAACACCTGATGTGGGATTTTTGGGTAAGACTGGTCCTAGTTAACATAAATGCTCAGGTGATAAGACTTAGAATTCACTGTTGCTTTTTTTCTCTTCATAGATATCCATCAATAGTCAAGGTAAGTTCCTGAGAAAAATCTAGTTAGCTTTACTTAAAATTTGCTTGACGTGGTAGTCTCTATCAGTGAAACTAAGAGTGAGGAGGCTGAGGCAGGAGGATTCCAGGTTTAAGTGCAATCTTTGGTACATAGTGAAACCCTGTTTCAAAACAAGTTCATCTGCTCATTGAGTTATTTCCATTTAAACCATATTTGGTTCTAGCATACATTTTAGAATAAAATTTGGCATGCTGTAAATTGACGGTTTTGCCCAGTCATCTGTGGGCATTAGTTTTGTGGGAGGGTTTTTTTGTTGTTGTTTTTCTTCTTGATGGATCTCAGGAGGTATCCCCAGCTGGCTTCAAACTCAGTGTGTAGCCTAGGACCTTGAACATATGCTTCTCCTGCCTCCACCTCCTGAGTACTGAGATTACAGGTTTATGCCTCCACTCCAACTGTATGCAGCACTTGGAATCAGACTCGGGTTGCTGTGAGCTAGGCGAGCACTCTACCAGCGCAGCTACCTCCCCACCTCATAAGGGATTTTGTCTAGAAGGCTAGAGCAGCACAGAGGAACTTAAGAGAAAGGTGCTTTGTCATAGCTTCTCTTTGCCGTGGATAAGTGTTGCATTAAATTTTCCTGGGGAGATGCAAACCACTGTCCAGCCACACCAGGTAGGCACCAACAACAGATCAAAGCACAGTCTCATTGAAGTCAGACTTGGTGGAACCAGGGAGTTTGTTGGGCTTTCTTTTAGAGCGGAGTTGTGTACAGGAGTGTGGACAGCCCCCAAATAAGTAATCACTGCAAGGTCCCACCCCATCATGGTTTGAAATCTCACTGCATCACAGAGCCCCACTTTTCATCATCCTTCACTTCTATAAACAGGATATCATCTCTCAAGACCACTTGCATCTGGGGAAAGGAATGGAATGTCAGGCAAGGGTCTCCTCCCACCTCCGTGGACTACCAATAGCTCCATTGCCAGAGCTGGCTACCACTATATTGTTGTACTCAGTTGTCATAGATATGGGGGCAGGGGCCAAGAATGGGATCTTGTTATGACCAGAAGGAAAAGCATCATTTAACAATAAGAAGAGAGTCCATATGTGAGGATTATAAGAATTTGAGTGTATTTTTAAGATATACAACATTGATATGAAATACATACAGGTGGCTTTAAAAGAGTACTTCAGTGAAAGAAATTAAAATGTGTTTCACCTCAAAATTGCCACCCTCCACACCCTGCCTCTGCCATTTCAGGGTGAAAGTAGGCGAAATCTACTATAGCAGAATTCATCAATACAATACATTAACTGTAGTCTTGATGCTGTGCACTGAAACTATAGGAACCATAGGATTAGCCAAGCCTGGTTTTGCCCTTCTGTAATCCCAACACAGAAAAGATTGTGAGTTTTAAAGTTTTAAGCCAGCCTGAGCTACATAGCTAGACTCTCCCACCCCGCTGTCCCACCCCCTAAAAAAAGCAAAAAACTATGATAGGTGATTGTCAGTAGAATGTTGAGAAGTGTAAAAAAAAAAACAAAAAAACACTGTTTTGTTTTGTTTGTCCCTTTAGGAGAATATGAAGAAGCACTTAAGGTAAATGTTTACTTCATTTTATTTTTAAGCAATTTTAAAAATATTTATTGAAACCTAAACTCCACTGGAAAGTACTAAGAATAAGTAGAATGATAGCCATTCAGTTAGGGAGCCTCTGGTTAAGTGTTGTGAATGACTCGGCAGCAGGCATTAAGTTACCGTGTCATCACATTGTGGGTCTTGGTGCCACCATTTTATCATTTAAAGAGAAACCCCCCTCCCCGGATGTGGTGGTAACTTTTGTGATCCCAGCACAGGAGGCCAAGGTGCCTGGACCGTTGTTCAAAGGCTACTTAGCCTACACACTGAGTTTGAGACCAGCCTTGGCTATGTAACAAGACTGTTTTTTAACTGGGCACAGTGGCACATACCTATAATCCCAACAAAGGCAGGTGGATCTCTGTGAGTTTGGGGTCACCCTGGTCTACAAAGCGAGTCCAGGACAGCCAAGGCTACACAAAGAAATCCTGTCTCAAAAAAACCAGAAAAGAGAAGGGGGGTTGAATGAGCGAGGACAGGAGGATTTTTTAATGCTGCTCTAGCTCAGAGCCTCATGCATGCTAGGTGAGTGTTCTATATCCCATCCTAATAAGATAATCAACTTAATTTTTGTACGCATCACTTAACATACATAAACTTACACAAAACATACACTTAACTTACACACAAAATATGTTGTTTTTAAACGGAATCTTAAGTCTATTGTATAAAAATAAGTAAAGGAAAAACAGAGGCGCTCCAATCCATTCAGTCCCTAATTTTTCTTAAACATTTATGTATGTTCCTGGAAACTGAACAGCTTCTTGAAGAATTTCCATACTTTATTAGGAAAATTTCCTCAGAGATAGAACCACTTAAACTTGCTTTGTGAAATACTAGGTTACAGAAAAATAAGTGCTTAGGTATAGGGAACAGCTTTAAGTGGCCATGATTAGTGTTAGGCTGGAATTTACTTTTGTTTTTTAGGAAGCTGAGATTAGAGTTACTACCTTATAGAATGACCAGTTAAGCCACATATGGCAGTGCACACCTGTAATTGTCGTACCTCAGAGGGTGAAGCAGGGAGATCTTGAGATGGAGGCCAGCCAGGGCAACTCAGACTCCATGTCAGAACAGACAAACAAAATAATTAGAGAAGAATCCAGTTGATGGGAAAATCTCACCTAACAATTTCATCAATTTTTAATATAATAAAGCCATTCGTAGTTAATATTCTTAACAAACAGCAGGCTAGCTGTTAACATGGAGGTTGATTGTCTTTATCCAAAATACTTGGAACCAGACATGCCTCGATTTTTAAAATTTTGATTTTGGGATATTTGTACATTCATAAATGAGGTATCTTATGAAGGAATGGGCTAAATTTGAAATTTGTCTCATATATGTTATATAGCCTAAAGGTAATTTTCTATATTATTCTTAGTTCACAGTATTTTGATTATTACTAATCATAAATGCCAGGTGCTAATTTTTCTGCTTGTGGTATCACGTCAGCATCTCATAAGTGAAGTTTAATTAGGGGCACTCCACCTGTTCATTTAGAAATGCAAACAAAAGTCACAGCAGAGTTCACTGAACTTCTGGGTCTCAGTGCCTTGACATTTCATTTGGAAAAGGAGAATCACAGTGTATTTTTGTTTTGTAATACGCTCTCAGATGGCTAACAGTAAGCAAGGAAACCAACTACAGATGCAAGTCCACGAAGGGTACCACGTTGTAGACGAAGCATTCCCCCAGGTTGTAGTAGAAAAACAAGCAGCTGGCAGGATAGGGAAGAAGCCACTTGCGCATTATTCTTCACTGGTGAGAGTCTTGGGGTCAGAGATGAAGACCACAGAGGAGCCTGCAGCACAGGTATGAGAAGGATGGGCCTTTCTTCCAACTCTAACCTTACATCTCATTGTCTCTTACATACCATTGAAGAGTCATCAAAGATTGGGGCAAGGAGGCTGGGGAGATCATCTTAAAACCACAAGAACCTGAGTTTGATCCCCAGAACCCATGTTTAAACCAGAAAAGGCTGGAAAGATATCTTCCTGGGTAAAGAGGCTAGTGTGCAAGCATGAGTCATGAGTTCAAGTCCCCCAAATTCACAGGCAACGAGTCATGTCTGTAATCCCAGTGCTCCTATGGCAAGATGGAAAGCAGAGTAAGGAGGAGCTCTGAAGGCTTGCTAGCCAGCCAGCTTGACATGTGCAGTAAGTCTTTGTCTCCCACAAGGTGGGAGGCAAGAGCCAGCACAGTGCTGTCCTCTGATCTCCACACACGTGCCTGTACTCACACAGAAGAACCAGGTGTGGAGCCAGGCATGTGGCCCATACCTTCAGTCCCAGCACTCAGGAGGCAGAGGCAAGTGCATCTCTGAGTTTGAGGCCAGACTGGCCTACAGAATGAGTTCCAGGACAGCCAGGGCTACATAGAGAAACCCTGTGTCAAAAAACTTTTTTTAAAAAAGAAGAGTCAGGTGTGGTACATATGTGTATTCTTATAATCTCAGTACAGACAAGGCAGAAACAGGAGGATCTTTGGGGCTTACAGGCCAGCCTAGCCTACTTTGCTGTTTGCAGGCCAGGGAGTGCATCTGCCTTTAAAAGAAAAAGGAAAAAAAAAAGGTTCCTGAGGAATAACATCGAAGGTTGTCCTCCAGCCTCCACACATGTGCACACATCCTCATGTACACAGAAATTTGAGTATTATGTTGACTATCTAGATCTGAATCTTTGAAACTGACCACCCTGGTGTACTTTTAGAGAAAAGAAACTAGAATACACATGTTGTTTTTCTTTTGTGTTCTGTTACACTGTAACTTTAAAAAAAATTACTTGCATGTCATATGCTTGTGACATCTGATAGAAGAAACCTGAAAATAATACATTTTGGAAAAATTACTTTTGAAAAGAAAAGTAACTTCCAAGGTCTCAGATTGTATCTTCTCACAGCCATGTTCACTTGCTCCCTGTGACACGGATCAGCCTCAAGACAAGCCCCCAGACTGGTTTACAAGCTACCTGGAGATGGTGAGTGTTCTCTCCGGCCTGGGTTTAGCAGTCAGGTAGATGGCTGCAGCCTCTGGTGCGGGTGAGTGGAGAGTGGCAGCCAATGATTTTCAGACACAGAGCAAATGTAATGAAGAAAGTTCTAGCCTTTGCCTGAAGCATCATGAAAGGAGAATCCAGTTCTAAACATGTGAGGGAGAAGGACAGATCTCTGTGCTTGAGAAGGACAAAGTAGAAACAGAAGAATCAGTTTAGCCGTGAAAGGAAGAGACCTGTTACATTTCTGTCCATCCCTCTGGTAGCCATTAGCCATGTTCTTAGGTTATATCATCAACAGTCAACAGGAAAGATCCAAATATGTTCTCTTCTCACTTTTTCCCATGCTGGAACTGAGTTTTTCCCCTATCTTCTGCTCTGCATTGTAGTTCAGAGAACAAGTGGTTAAGGAAACAGTTGAGAAGCTTGAGCAGAGGTTGCAGGAGAAGCTTGTCCTCCAGAAGCCACCCTTGGGTTCCTCGCCCTCAGAAGTCTCCATGCCTATTTCAGAGGAAACACTGTTTTTGCCAGAAAACCAGTTCAGCTGGCACATTGCTTGCAGCCACTGCCAAAAGAGGATTATTGGTGTGCGTTACCAGTGTAGGTAAGCAGCTCTTGGGCAAAAGCGGCTACTGCCTAGCACTCTGAGTAGTTGAGGGGAAGCTGGACATCCTCTGTCTCTGAGCAGTAGGTGATGTAGCTTTGATTTGGAAGCACAAGCTACTCCTCTGTTCCATGTTTTGTGGGTTTGGTGGGAACTATTCCGAGTGCTATTCAGGTACATTTGGATGAACAGAATCAGTCAAAGTCAGGTCACTAAGGATAGACTCCCCCTGTTCAGAATGATCTGGCATCTCATTTTTTCCTGTAAACTATTCATGGACATGGGCGTGATTGGAAGTTACTCTTATTTACATTTTAATGAGAAGCATCAGCCATGGCATAGCCAAGTGGCAATTGTAGGTCACTACCTAGCTGTTAAAGGAGCTGTTAAGTCTAAAGTCTAGTCTGGTTCCTCTCTACTTGACGGACTACTGTGACATTTTTACTATGCTGTTCTTTCCACACAGCCTGTGCCCATCCTACAACATATGTGAAGACTGCGAAGCGGGACCGTATGCCCATGACACGAACCACGTCCTGCTGAAGTTGCGGAGACCTGTTGTGGTTTCCACCGAACCATTTTGCCACTCAAAGTGTCCCACCCCACGTCTCCCTGCTGCTCTGGAACAAGTCAGGTAAAGCCATACCCTTGGGGCTGTTCCTCTGACGAGCTTCCTGATTCTGCTGCCGAAGGTGTTGATATGATGAATATCGGATGTGGCCTACAGAGATGGCTTATGGTTAAGAGTACTTGCTGCATTTGCCAGGGACTTGGGATCAGTTCCCAACACCTGCATGACAGCTCACAACAGTCTACAGTTCCAGTTTCAGGGGATTTGATACCCAGTTCTGCCTTCTGTGGGCATCAGGCACACATGTGGTACACTTACCTATGATGAGTAAATCTTTAAAAAAAAAAAAAAAATGTAGTCAGGCAGTGGTAGTAGATGCCCTTAATCCCAGTACTCGGGAGGCAGAAGCAGGCAAATTTCTGAGTTCAAGGCCAGCCTGGTCTATAGAGCAAGTTCCAGGACAAGCAAAGGTTCCACAAACCTTTGTGGAATGTGATGCCTAGCATTCAGAACCATCCTGAGTTCTAGGTCAGACTGAGCTACACAGTGAGACAGTCTCAAAACAAAAGAAAAATTCAATGTTACGTAGTATCACAAAATTACTATTAATCTCCTTATTCTTGCTCTTATTCAGTTGATGTGTAATGATGAAACAGTGGGCTGAGACTCATCCAGGGGAAATGATGAGTGTAAAAGAAATTGAGAAACTACGTGCTAACATTGATGTATTAGCCTCAGGCTTTTTTGTGCTTTAAGACATCATTCATTATCCCACAGGCTCCAAAAACAGGTGGATAAGAACTTTGTGAAAGCAGAAAAGCAAAGGTTGCGTGCTGAGAAGAAACAGAGGAAAGCAGAAGTCAAGGAGCTTAAAAAGCAGCTTAAACTCCACAGGAAGATTCATTTGTGGAATTCGATCCATGGTCTCCAGAATCCCAAGTCCCCTTTGGGCCGACCTGAGAGCCTACTGCATCCTAACACCCTGATGTAGGTAGATCCCAGGCCAGGCCAGGGTGTGGCTTCTGGCCCAGCTCTCTAACCTGGAACTGGAGTCGCCCTTTGTCTTAGCTGTTGTATCCCCTAGCTCCCACCAGCTTCAAGTGTCCCCTGTCTGATCTCCAAGCTGGTTCAGGGTTATTTCTGACACTTTGATGCCCCAGTCCAAAAGCTAGAAGCTAGTAAGACTGAGAACCGGGCTAATTCAGACTTCTCTTTCCTGGAGGTAGTCTGGCAGGGTTGGAAACAGGATGCAAGTCTCTAGTTGTAGGTATGGACACTATTACCCCTTTAGGCATCATGTTTTTGACAGCCTGGAGTTTGACTCCTAGCATTATCTTTCACACACACACACAAACACACACACACAATTTTTATTATTCTTAGTTTTTATTATTATATTTGTGTGTGTGTGTGTGTGTGCGTGCGCATGCACGTGATGTGTATGTCTGGGCATGTGGGCCATGACATGCATGTTGAGATCAGAGAACAACTTTGTAAAGTCAATTCTGTTCTGTTGTGCATTCTGGGGATTGAACTCAGGTCACTAGGCTTGCATGGCAAATACCTTTACCTGCTGAGCCTTCCCACAAGCTTAGCCTAATTTGTGTAAGTTTTTAAGGCAAACATATTAGTACACCCTTAAGAAGCACCGTCAGCCATCACCCCCAGCAGCAAGTGACTAAGTATATGGATCTCTGTCTAGGCTTCCTCTGCAGCCCTGTGCCCCAGTTATGCCAATGTTGAGCGCAGCATTTGTGGATGAGAATTTGCCTGATGGGACTCATCTTCAGCCAGGAACCAAGTTTATCAAACACTGGAGGATGAAAAACACAGGGAATGTGAAGTGGAGTACAGACACAAAGGTATTTCTGCCACAGAATGCAAAGACGGGTGTGCAGCAGCAGAGGGCAGAGCTAACCAGCTTTCTCTTGTCCTTTTCAGCTCAAGTTCATGTGGGGAAACTTGACTTTGGCGTCTACAGAGAAGAAGGATGTTTTGGTTCCCTGCCTGAAGGCTGGCCATGTGGGGGTTGTGTCTGTGGAGTTCATTGCTCCAGCCTTGGAGGGAACATACACTTCACATTGGCGTCTCTCTCACAGAGGCCAGCAGTTTGGGCCACGGGTCTGGTGCAGCATCATAGTGGATCCTTTTCCCTCCTCTGAGAGCTCTGACAATGAAAGAGGCGTGATCGGCTCAAGCAAAGCTGATGATCTCACCTGTGAGCAAGAGGTGAGCACATGCAGACTTTGGCCCAGTATACCAGACTGTTTGCTCAGTCGTTAGGCGTGTCCTGCCTTGTGATGCTTGCCTCTATTTCATGCACTTGGGAGGTTGAAGCAAGAGAACTGTAAGTTCAAGGCTAGCTCTGCTAGGCATTGACACAGATGAACCCTGGGGACCAGAATGTAAAAAGAACTCACTCATAGCGTGCTGGTCTTCTAGACTTCCTTAAAAGCTTACTGTGTTTCTGAGTTTTCCATCACTATAACAAAATACTTGATGCTTAACTTATTAAGAGAAAAGGTTTGTTTTTGGCTCATAGTTTTAGAGGTTCCAGTCCATGATTAGGCAGACCCATTGCATTTAGGCCTCTGGTTGGTGTACTAGACTGTACTGACAGAGAATAAGTAGCATAGCAAAAAACCAAAAACAACAAAATGCCACTCAGGGGCCAGGAAGAAAAGAGAAAAAGAGGAAGGGACCAAAGTCCAGCATTTTTTTTTCCTACAGTGACCTAAGGATCTTAAGTAATGTTCTGCCTCAGAAAGGGTCATTGCCTAGTAATGCCATGCCTCTAGGGGCTATGCCTTTTTTGCTTTTTGTTTGTTTTGTTTTTCAAGACAGGGTTTCTCTGTGTAGTCTTGGCTCTCCTGGACTTACTTTGTAGACCAGGCTGGCCTCGAACTCAGAGATCTGCCTCTGCCTCACAAGCATTGTGAATAAAGGTATATGCCACCACCACCTGGCTCTTACTGCATGGGATTTGGGGGTACTCCCCCACCAGTACATTTTTATGCTGGTGTTTGGCCTTGTCCTTAGGGTTTAGGTGCAGGCAGTCTCTGAGGGCTTTATTTCTGGGATGGTGCTTACTAGACCAGGGAAATAAGGGCCATAGCTTTTTTCCTTAACACTCATCTTCTAGAATATCCCTGTTTGTTCCCAGAGCACTGAGGACATCTTCACTTGCCTGTCCTTGCTACAGTCTGTTGTTGCCTTCTTGTTAATAGCACAAATGCTGCTGTTTGAATCTGGCTAGCCAGTGTTAAATTCCTCGTCTGGGCTAACTGTACTTGTATTAAGTTGTAGAGCAAGCTAGGTGAGAAATAGCATGTGAACTTTAAGTTCTGCAGCCTTTTTTTTTTTCAAGACAGGGTTTCTCTGTGTAGCCTTGGTTGTCCTGGATTTGCTTTGTAGCTCAGGCTTGCCTCAAACTCACAGAAATTTGCCTGTCTCTGCCTCTCTGAAGTATTAAATAAACAAACAAACAAATAAATAAATAATTTTGAGGATTTATTTATTACTTATACAGTATTCTGCCTGCATGTATGCCTACACACCAGAAGAGGGCATCAGATCTTATTACAGATGGTTATGAGCCACCAGGTGGTTGCTGGGAATTGAAGTCAGGACCTTTGGAAGAACAGTCAATGTTCTTAACCTCTGAGCCATCTCTCCAGCCCAAAATCAAAATTTTCAATGGAGAGGTTCCACTGTTTTTATTTTAGGGGACGCATTGTCAGCCTGGTGCTTGAGTTCGATTGAGGTCCTAAAATATGCACCAATTATTTGTCTCTACAGGAAGCTTTTCTTCTAGCTGAAGAAGAGATTCGACTGGGTGAAGTGACAAAGAAGACAGAAAAGACAGGAACCAGCACCCCACAAAAGACACAAAATGTTGCCAGTGAGAGGGAACTCTACATTCCATCCGTGGACCTTCTGACTGCTCAGGTAAATAGCCCACACTTTGAGGGACAGGGACAGAAAGGGAGTGAGCACTGAGAAAGTTCCCACCTTGGTATTGAGAAGATGGCACAGCCACCGTGGTTCTGGGAAGTTGGCAATGGGCAGGCTTGATCCAGCCAGCAGTATTTAATGGGAGTAAGATCATACTTGGAGCAGGTTTCTGAACCATTTCCTCCTGAGTTGGAAGCTCAGGTTTGTGGTTCGCCACAACTTCCCTTAGTGTCCTCTTCTTCACCTGCTTCGCTTCCCCAGCCAGTGTTTCCTACCCCCTAGCCAGGTAGACTTTGAGAACAAGAGTTCCCACTTTGATTAAGGAGGGGCATGAACTTGAACAGAATTGAATCCAGAAAATGTACCTGTGGGTCCAGTCGTGACAGAACATGGCTCCCACTTGCACTGCAGACATCTTTATTTGGCTGTCTCTTTTTCTAGGACCTGCTGTCCTTTGAGTTGCTGGATATAAACATTGTCCAAGAATTGGAGAGAGTGCCCCACAACACCCCTGTGGGTAAGAATGTCACTTGGCTCATCTGGTTTAGGTTCTGGTATTATAGTCTGAGACACTAGAGGGCAAAGATTCCTCCCACACTGTGATGGTGAAGCTGCAGCCATGGTCCATCTCCTCCTCTCCCTGTTGTCTGTCAATGCCACAGTACAAGTGTGTGCAGGGCTTCCCTATTATAATGGGACCCGCCTTCATTTTTCTCCTTTGTTTCTTTCCTCGTGGTTTTGTATTTTGGCTTTGACATTCCAGGCCATTTACTTGTTGTGACCCAGCATTAATGAGTCAGAGCTAGGTTCATTCCTGGTAATCTAGAGAAGTTCTTTATGACAGATAATGGAGCATATTTGGATTTATTTTAACCCCATAGGAAGCAAGAAACCTACAAACTGCTGCTTCTGGATACTTGCCTGTTTATGATGTCATGCTTTTTCTCAGTTGATGGTTTTCCTGTCTTCATTCTCCAGATATGACTCCCTGCATGTCTCCTCTGCCACATGACAGTCCTTTAATAGAGAAGCCAGGCTTGGGGCAGATACAGGAAGAGAGTGAAGGGGCGGGATTTACAGCACCTCCTGGTAAGGGGTTCAATATCTGTAAAGCACCTGTACCGTCCCTTTCCATCCACACCCATCTTCATACACCTATTCCTCATTAACTTCACCTCAGCATGCGAACTGATGTCCCATAGCCTCTTGTTCTTTTAAGTCTTTCCTCATGACAGAAAGAGCAGCTGTTCCCTCACCCAGGTTTAGTATGCAGTGACTGGTGAAAGCTCTCAAACCTTTAAACACCAAGTACAGACAAGTTTTGTATGTCTTTCAGATTCCACCGTATCAGCAAAGAGGAAGGCTGAGGCCTCTGCTTCAGTGGATGAAACGGAGGAAGACCTGAGTGGGACCCAGTTTGTGTGTGAGACTGTAATCCGATCGCTCACTTTGGATGCTGCTCCAGACCACAACCCACCTTGCCGGCAGAGGTCTCCACAGAGTGAGTGTCCCTGTGTTTCCACCAGCTGTCAGAGTGGCACCTGAATAAGTGCTCTTCGACCTTCTAAGAGGGGAGGGAGGTTGGTCTTTGTTGGAACCTGATCGCACTGACTTCTGAGTATGCTGGCATTCTTACTAGAGCACCAGGACAGAGGCCACCCTAACTCATTTCTGCACTTTCTCAGGAGAATTACAACTGCATTCCACAGAGGAACAGCAGCCAGTAGTGCTGCCTGGATTCTGCAGAAAGGATTCTTCCCGTAAGTTGACAGAGCTCCTCAGCAAAGTTCCCATTGGCAGCGGGGTCATCTGCTTTCCCTGAAGGGCAGCAATCTGAAAAGTGTGGGACAATGCAGGAGTACAAGACTGTTTCCCAGAGTTAAATTCTACCTTGAAAACACCTTCTTGGGTTCTGGAGATAGAGTGTGTGTCTTACAAGCATGAGGGGCTCAGCTCCATCCACAGTACTCACGTGAAAGCTCAAAATGAGAGCCTGTCTCAAAAATAAAGTAGGTGGACAGACATTTCACAAATGTCTTTAATCCCAGTATTCAGGATGTAGATGTAGCTACATTTCTATAAGTTTGAGGCCAGCTACGTGGTGAGACACCATCTCAAAAAAAGATGGGGGAAATGGCTTCTAGAGAGCTGCACCCATCTCTAGCCGCCATCCACAGTCCCATTTATCCACCTGCTCACTTAGATAGACACACAGACATGCACACACATAAACAGTACCTTTAAAACAGACTGCCAGTATCAAATTAGTAGAGCCAGTACAATATGTTCCAAAAATTATACAAAAAATATACTTTCTGGTGCTTAATGATAATACCAAATTGGAGAGATGGCTCAGTGGGTAAGAGTTCTTTTTGTGCAGGCAAGAAAGCCTAAGTCAGTACCCACCTAAAACCAAGCACAGCCCTGTCTGCCCATAACCCCATCAACAGGAAACTGATACAGGTAGGTCCTGAGCTCACTGTCAGACATCTTAGCCAAAATGCCAAGCTTCAGGTTCAGTGAGAGACCCTGTCTTAAATAAAGTGGCCAACAACAGAGGAAGACACTTAATATCCTTCTCTGGCCTACACATGCACACACAGAGATGTAATCAGCATGCATTACACACACATGTAAAAACATGAAATTTGACCTATATATACCTTCAAACATAATTGTCCTATATTTGCTTAGAATGAACACACAAGTATGAATGGTTTTTAGTTTTTACACATATATACAAGTAGCAGAAAGGTGTGGAAGGATAAACCAAATTATTCAGTTACTACCAGTTATTACTCTGATAGGATCTTGGGGCACCTTTGTACCCACCCCTGTGCGTCACTTTTCTAAGGCAAAGGAAAACGAGCACACAAACTAAAGTGCTTACCACATGGCTGTCCTTTTTATAACCCAGCTAGCTAGCTTATCAGTTCCGGTTAAACTATCTCAGTCTCTTAACTATCATAGCAAAGAGGAAAAAGGCCTGTAGGATTCCCAGTGCTCACTGGAGGCCTAGCTGCTTCTGCCCACACACTTGTTTCTGTTGACTTCCATCCTGTTTGTTTTGCATGATCTTGAAACACAGAGTACAGTCATGGCTCCAGCAGCGGCCTCTTCCTCTAGTTCTTTCCACTGTGGCTTTTGTGCTATCTTACGATCTACAAGGCTTTGCTGAGTGAGAACAGCACTGAAGTTTGCTGCTAAGCCTCTTCCCTCACAGTGGTTACTTTCATCATTCCTTAGTGAAATTTGCTTTGCCTGAAGAAGGACCACTTGGAGATGAGAGGGAGGAAATTATCCGAGTTGCTGAGGAAGAAGTTGTTGAGGAGGAAGAACTCCAAGATGAAGTTCAAAGTCAGTCTTCTGCTTCCTCTGAAGATTACATCATCATCCTGCCTGAGTGCTTTGACACCAGCCGTCCACTGGGGGACTCCATGTACAGCTCTGCACTCTCACAGCCGGGCCTGGAGCGAGGGTCTGAAAGTGAACCTGGGATCGAGGCTGGGCAGGAACCAACCGAGGCTGGAGAGAGACTCCCAGAAGGGGAGAGCCAGCCCCAGGAGCAGAGCATCAGTGACATCCTCACGACCTCACAGACTTTGGACACAGTGCCTCTAGTCCCCGAAGTAGTAGGGCTTCCGCCAGCACCAACCAGGTACTGCTCATTACCCCTTAGCCATCCTGTTCCTGAGACTGGAAATGACCATAGTCCATAAACTTAGATGAATAAAGGTCATATTCATATTTCTCAGCATTTTGTGAATTTGGGATTCACAAATGTTTGTTTTAGTTGACCTAACTTCCCTGAGCATAGCCTGTCTACTTATTGTTTATAATTAAGAGGAGGAAAGTCTTTAAACACAAACATCTCTGGATCGTCCCTTCATGTTTTGATTCTTGGGTTGAGTGAGTGCAACAAAAACTTATGTAAGCACTTGTCAGTTGGCTCAAAGTTAGAGCATTTATCTGGCAAGCATGTCAACAGAAAAGCTCCGTCTTCCATGTTTTAAAAGAAGCAAAGAACAAGTAGGAAATTAAATTCCTTATGGATATATACCACAAGCCCAGAGAGAAAGTATGTAAGTCTGCTGGGTCTGAGCCATTGGTCTCTCCCTCTGTATAGAACACGTGAGAGCCCTGAATATAACAAACTATGCAGGGAGCTAGAAATGTGCATCTGCTAGCACCACTTGATGGAGAGGGAAGTGACCCGAATTGAAGCCAGTCTTTCTGGCTGGCTTGTGGCTAGAGAGGAAATCAGAGAGTAGACTGCAGCCCTTCTGACCATGTTGCCAAAGTCACATGTGATAGGGAGGAGAATGTGAAGCCTTCAGAGCCTCTGGCACTGCTGCACTGATAGCTGTTTTCCTGCCACTGCCTTGGATGCTTTTCAGCTTACCTCCACTATTATCTCTTTCTAAAGGAGCTCCCCTTGTGGGCAGCATGGGTCCCCAGGAGTGGATTCACCAGTTACCATCCAAGATGTTCCTCCAGTCCCTGATCAGATCAGAGGAGGTAATGACAAGCTTGGTCTTCGCCTCCCTTCCTTTGCTTCTTTCCAGTAGAAGCCAGCTATCAGCAAGTTGTCTGTTTTGTGACTCGTGACCTTGTTTAGGGACCTTTCTGTACTTCTCCCTCATGCTGTTTCTACTCTCTTCAGTATATAAGGAGACCTTCTGGAGGTGGGTGTTGCATTGTAATGGGAAGAGCGCATCCTTGGAAACAGGCCAGTGTAGGCTCCAGTTCTGCCTTTCCTCCCCAGCAGGATGCAACAGCTCAGCTAGTTTGTATGCCTGTAGGTCTGTCCGCTATCTGAACAATCAGGACAGTAGCACTGTGAAGTAGTAAGTAGGTCCTCGCAGCCACTTCCCTTCCTAAAAATACCAAACCTAAAACTGAAAACTAACGCATCGGTGTAATGGGATTATAATTTTTTTTCTTTTACTCAATGAAGTCCCCTTGTATAGCATTTCTAGACAGTTTTGTCTTTCTCTGTTACTTAAACCACACAGAAATTTCTGAAACTTAGAAGGAAAAGGACTTCAGACACCCAGTTAACTTGTTGCCTGCCTCGATGATAGCTTTGCTGAGTTGAGGGATACGGGGCTTGTGGACACTGCGGCTAACCAACAGCTCTTTTGCTTTTAGAGCCCAGAGGCTCATCAGGACTTGTAAACAGCAGACAGAGGAGCTGTGACCACTCAAGGTAACGACCTTGTGACGTCTCTTCTTGAGAAGCAGGTGGACATCCCAGCATTGCTTCTGCTTTCACGAGCCTCCTCAGATCATGTGCCACCAGCAGAGCACAGGAAGGCGCGCGCTCATTCCTCACTGCTTTTACTTCTCAAGCTTTCAAGCGCCACTGGACAGAGAGCTACAGCTTATGCTTAAGTGTTTCCACATTCCAGACAAGAAAGGACGACCCTAAAGTTCACCTCACCTGTAGTGCCCAGGAAACAGGAAGGTCAAGCCCCACGTGCATCTTGGCCATTTTTTCTTAGATACAGCTGTCATCTCAGATCAGTATCCAGAAAAATCTAATTTCCTTTGCCAGGTTTTCTCTGAGATTTGCAGACAAATTGCTGCTATCCAGGTGTGCCCTGACCACGCTGATTTTCAGCTGGGATGGAAAGCCGGCATGGTAACTAGGGCAAACGTTTCCCGCAGTGCTCATGTCTTGTGCAAGCCGAGTCAGAGCCCTGCATCAAACCATGATTTGTAGCTATGAAAACAATTCATTCTCATGTTTTGCATCTGATATTTTTTTCCTCTTAAGGATACCTCATTTTTCTTTGAAGATTAGCACCCACATTATCTTATAAGGTCCTGACTTTATTTGGGGAGATAATTTGGTTTTCCTCTGTAGGCACCACAATGGGAGCAGCATTGCTGGAGGACTGGTGAAGGGGGCTTTGTCTGTTGCTGCCTCTGCGTACAAGGCCCTATTTTCTGGGCCACCAGTCACTGCACAGGTCAGTGTGTGGTTTCTTTTCCTTAACTTCAGCCCTTAAGTCACCAGTGCAGATGGCACTGTGTTTCTGTCTGGACTGGCAGTTCACATGGCGTGGACTCTATGTGGATGTAGTCTTTGAACACACAGCCCTGCCATTTTCTATCTTTTTAATCAAGTTAAATGGGGAGAAAAGGAAAAGAACCTAAGATTTGTTGACAACCTACCACATGTACAGAGTTGCTGTTCAAAATACAGATACTACAGGATACATAAGTCACACATTCCAACAACTGCCGGGGATTGGCAAAGCATCCCCATTTCCAATACAGGGCAAGATACTGTGCCAGTGAGTCCAACAGACGGAGCATCTCTACCTCCTGGGACAGAGGCTTCCTGGAAGTTAGTATCTGAACTGAGGCCTAGAGACAAAGCAAGTGTTCCAAACCAGGAAAGAGTATTTTAATGCTGGATATGGTAGCTCTCACCTGTAATCCCAGCTACTCAGGAGGCAGAAAGAATGCAAGTTCAAGGCCAGCCTGGGCGCACAGTGCAACCTTTTCTTAAAATTAAGAGTACAGATGTAGTTTAAGGACAACAGAATTCTTACTTAGCACCCTGGGTTCAGTTGCAGGATCTTGTCCTCCCTTTTGAAAAAGGGAATAGAGCTGGGCAGTGGTTGTGTATTCCTTTAATCCCAGCACTCAGGAAGCAGAGGCAGATGCATCTCTTGAGTTTGAGGCCAGCCTGCTTTACAGAGTGAATTCCAGGACAGCCAAGGCTACACAGAGAAATTCTGTCTCAAAAAAAGAAGAAAAGAAAATTGGAATAGAATAGCTAGCCAGTAGAGTTGAACGTGAGTGGATGTAACTCTGACCTGAAGAGAGGAGTGAGAAGCAAAAAGACCAGCTGCTGAGGTTTTAAGACATAGACAAGGTTTTTGTTGTTGTTGTGTTATTGTTTTTTGGGTTTGTTTGTTTTGTTTTGTTTTTTTTCAAGATAGGATTTCTCTGTGTAGCCTTGGCTGTCCTGGACTCGCTTTGTGCTACTGCGCCCAGCTCTTATTAACTTATTATTTTTAAGATTTATTTATTATGTATACAATGTACTGTCAGCATGTACACCTGCACACAAGAAGAGGGCACCAGATCTCATTATAGATGGTGTGAGCCAACATGTGGTGGCTGGGAATTGAACTCAGGACCTCTGGAAGAGCAGCCAGTGCTCTTAACCTCTGAGCCATCTCTCCAGCCCCCGTTTGTTTTGTTTTTAGAGTAGTTTATACAGAGCCCTGGCTGCCTCAGTGTAGACCAGGCTGGCCTTGAACTCACAGAAATCCACCTGCCTCTGAGTGCTGGAACTAAAGGCATGTGGCACCACACCCCCATTAATGTAAAGGAAACAGAAATGTCAGGACTTGTAAGTGATTGAATACAAAGAACCCCAGGATAAATCTCAAGGTTTAGCTTAGGTACTCAGCACCAGGCATTGCAAGAAGTAGGGCCAGTAAGATGGCTCAGTGAGCAAAGGTGCTTGCTGCTAATCCTTGACAACTTTAGTTCCAGTCCCTGGGACCTACATCATGGAAAAAGAGTACTGACTCCCATGAGTTGTCCTCTGACATGTACATGAGCACCATACACACAAATATACAAAAATACATAATTAATGCCCCCCCATAAAAAAGTTTACTATTTGGGTAGGAGTAAATCTTGTCAGTTTTGCTTAGTGTTGAGTTTACAGCTTATTTAGGTTAAAAGGAAAGCCATCCATAGTGCAGCTGGATCTGTGTCCTGAGCTGAAGTTTGAGTCTTTTTGTGTACAGGTTCTAGTAGAAACTATGTGATTGGATGAGATTATCCAGAAAGGGAGGGGGAGACAGAAACAGCCTTTTAAGGATCAAGGCACCGGAATTTTGCTAAAACAAAACTTAGAGGAAAACTGGCCACTGCTGGGACTTGGGAAGGTTCATAAGAGGACAGTAGAGTGCTAAATGCTGCAGAGAGCTGTGACCCAGTGGTGAGGAATTTGACAATTCAAGTCTATACTTGAGAGCTGGCAAGCCTAGCAGTGAAACGTGTTATCAATACAAATGAGGAAATATTTCTGAGGTGGTAGAGGTAAAGAGAAAAATGTACCAAACATGGTAGCACACTCCTTGAATCTCAGCACTTAAGAAGCAGATGCAGGCGAATCTCTGACTTTGAGGCTAGACCGGTCTACAAAGCGAGTTCCAGGACAGCCAGAGCTGTTACACAGAGAAACGCCGTCTCGAAAAACGAGAGAGAATGCAATGTACAAACAAACCTGTCAAGGGTGGTGGTTAGCCTGTTCTAAAATGAGCAGAAAGAGAGACTAGGGATTATAGCTCAGTGGCAAAGCAGCATATAGGAAGCTGATGCTACATCTCTGAATTCAATAATGTCCTCGTCAGCAGGCCAGATGGTTCACATCTGTAATCCCAGCATTCAGGGAGGCAGAGGCAGGTGGATCTCTGTGAGTTCAAAGTCAGCCTAGTCTATACAGTGAGTCCAGGACAACCAAGGCTACACAGAGAGGCCCTGTCTTGAAGGGAAAAAAAAGTCCTAGTCTACATAGTGAGTTCTAGGACAGTCAGGACTATGTAGAGAGACTTTTCTCGGAAAAGGGAGGGGAGTTTCTGTAAATGAGTGTTAGCTTCCTCTTAATGGATCACTTCTGTCTTGGGGTTAAAAAGTCAAAAAGACTGCCAAAGATGTAATTTCCCCATTTTCTATCCATCTTACTTGCATACCTGGTAGTTTCATGTCCCCTGCCATCTTCAGGAAGTCTTTTTTTTTGCTCATATTTGCTCCATCACAATTTTAGTTAAAGTCTTCAAGGCTTTTCATTTTGCTCTTCAATTTTTAATTGGCTGAAGAATTGGTGATTTTTGTTTGGGGTTTTGGAGACAAGGTCTCACTCTAGCCCAGGCTAGCCCCAAACCTGTGCTCTTCCTCCAACCTGTAATCAGGTATGAGCCACTGTGCCTAACGCTGCTTTCAGAAAGTCCTCTGAAGCATTCTACTCTGTTGCCCCCTCTCCTTCAGCTATGCACATACCCAGCCAGAAGCGCTCTCAACCCCATTACCTAACATTTTGACTAAGTAAGGAAAGCCTAGCATGACAGTTTAATATATATTTGCAAGATAAGCAGTTAAATTATACAGAAAATGTCTACTTGTCTTTGCACAGCCCATCACTTCTGAAGATCAGACAGCAGCCCTGATGGCACATCTCTTTGAAATGGGATTCTGCGACAGGCAGCTGAACCTGAGGCTGCTGAGAAAACACAATCAGAATATCCTGCAGGTTGTGACAGAGCTCCTCCAAGTCAGCAACAACGACTGGTACAGCCACCGCTACTGAGGACTGACCTTGTATTAAATAACTGCCTGCCGCTCAGAGATGATCTCTATTCTGTCATTGAGTGTGGGTGGAAGCCCTTGCTTGTTTTTTAATCTGATGAATCTATATCGAGCGTCGCTGAATTGTTGAAACAATACCTGTTACAGTATTCTTTGGAGCAAAATCAAAGGCCAGAACTTAAATTTTCACTTTAGAAATGGGATGAATGGTAGGAAGACAGTTTTCAACTGATCTGGACAGAACTCTCCACTGTAGTACAAGGAAGCGTGTAACTTGAACTTCCTGTGGACTGCTTTTCCTTCTGCTAGTATTGAAGTTGAGTATTTTCCTTTGGTTCATATGGATGTTCTTAATGGGCTGTTAAATGTTAGTTTGGTTTTTTGTTTTCTAAAGATTAATCTTGAATGTTTTCAAGAATTATTCTCCTCATTTTTATAACCAACCCCAAGCTTCATAGCTACGTGTGACCTTAAAGGACAGCAGATCAAGAAAGTCATTTTTCTGTTAAGACTTAGCTTTCAGAAGACTCCAGTGGTACAATTAAGTATCCACCTGGAAGGATGGAAGGGCATGCTAGTTAACCCACCAGCACCTACTGAGCAGTGTCTGTTGAAGTACTTTTGCATAAAGTTTTATTTAAGGAAAAATCCTAGGTAGTGTGAAGTATTTTTGAATCCTATAGAGAAATGAAAACCCCACCTGTTAGATAAAGGGAAAGGTAAATTTAAATCATCCTTTTTCTGACTGTCATAGCCGATCTTAAGGAGAACAGGTATGTGCAAATTCTCATCTCAGTAAGATTCGAGTGTGGGTGAGGGGACACAGGAGAAATGCTGGTGACTTCACGAATGTACTCTGCTTCTGAGGTGTCCAGCCCTAGAGAACAGGAAGTGTGGTGGTTGGGGGCTAACCCACTGAAAGGTTAGTTTACCTACCGTTAGGGTAACTGGGAAGAAACTTGCTCTCAGAGTGCTAGTTCATAAGGGGGCTTTGGGTACAGGTGGTGAAAGAAGAGGTAACGAAACACTAAAGAATTTATTGAAGGCATCTGGACCCCAGCTGAAAGGGGAAAGATAGTTAAAATAGTATTATTTAACTTAGTTGGTATTTATAATAAATGGAGATTTTAATTACTCATAATCTGTTTACTTACAGTCTAACTCTTGAATGCTTCTAAATAAACCACAATTCAAACTTCAAGCCAACCAAGCTGTTTATTATTTAAAACGCTTTCGTGGGGTTTGGGTAGAGGCAGAGCCATTTTCTATGTATGGGTGGGTGATTAGGTGGATTTGGAGCCGGAGTTGTCTTGACCGTCCGGGTCTAGTGGTTCGTTCCGTTGTTACTTGTACATAGCCACTTAAAGAATTGTGAATAAATGTTCCTTGAAACGCTTCCCTGGGCTAGTCGGGCCTTGTAATAGCATGGTCCTTAAGGGCACGTGTCCCGCGGGGCTCGGAGACGCAGCGCCGGAAGTGCGATCCGGCAGGGGGCGCCGCTGGGGGAGAGGGCGGGGCCGAGGGCGGGGTCGGCCGGGCCTGGACTCCGAGCTTGCGATGAGCGCGCAGCTCCCGCAGTTTCGATTACGCTGTGGGCGTCGTCACCTTCGGGTAAGGCGCTCCCAGGACCCCTGTCCTTCCCCTTTACAAAAAGCTCAAACAGGGTCGTCTGAGCTTTCACAGCGCCCAACGCAGTGCCAAATTCGACTAACGGCCAATGTGGTGGATTTAAAATCCTTCTTCAATGAAATCCTACCTTTTCCTTCCTTGCCCACCTGATGGCCCTTCGGAAAGTCCCCTAGTAGGGAGGGGGCTTGACCCTCCCGGAAGGCAAGAATCCCTGCTCCCTGCACGTTCAACTCTCTCAGGTCTCCGCTGAAGGGAGCTGACCGTCCCCCCGCCCTGGGGCCACCGCAACCCAGAGGCCCTTCTCCCCAAAGGAGCATTCCAGAAAACCCAGTCTTGAGGCTGAAAAGAGCCTGGAATCCCAGACCTAAACCAGGTGAGTAAGGGTCTTTATTTTAGCCCAGGATGATCTGAGTGTGTCCTAAGTTGCTACTTTGGGGCTTTGGGGGAAAAGTTCAGATTTCGTCTTGACCTTTCCTAATGAAGAACACTCTCAGGTGTCTCAGAAAACAGTGTACAGATTTAGGCTCCCTCCCAGTCCGGTTTCACGGGGCTTAGCCACAGCTCTGGCCTCTCACTTAAGCCCTGCTTTTTCAGCCAGACTCCTGCCTTCTACACTCGCCAGCCCACTTCAAGCATTTCTGCCCTGGTGGCACTCTTGCCTCTCCACAGAGTAATAACTTGATTAGGGAGGACAAAGGAACCTGCCACTGCTGTGCCTCCCACTCCCAGTCCTACCCAGCTTCCCTTTCTTTGAAATAAATGACAGTTCAGCTTTTCTTGGTAAAAAAAATATTCACCATTCACTTATGGAAGTGAAATAACTTCTGCTTTTCTTTTCTGAATTGAATTCTTATTAAAAAATAAATAAGTCCCAAGGCACCGCCCAAACCTTTCTTCCCTAAGCTAAAGCTTGCTTAGATAACGGTGGGGCTTCTTGCCAATCTTGAAAACTTAAAACCAGAATTGTAGCTGGCAGCAGTGCTAGCAGGCTAATAGCACTGAACTTTGTTTTATTTCTCATTAGTGAAGAATCCTGCGGAACTATGGGTAAGGCATTCTCCCAGCTCAAGTCTCAGCAGGATGAGGACAAGCCGATCCTCCCCGACAACCCAGCCATTACCAGCAAGGCGGCCAACTACTTCAGCATTTGTGGCAACAAGCCACCACGCGGTGTGCCTTATGAAAAGGTTGCTGGTACCGGCTTTGTGACTTGCCCTACCTGCCAAGGCAATGGGGAGATCCGCCAAGGTGAGTAGCCCAAGGTTCGGGAAATATCCGAGAAACCAGGGAGAGACCCAGACCTGCCCCTCTGCGTCTCCTGAAGCAGGTGAACCCTGCCATTTCATGCTCTTAGTCTCAGATTGGCCAAGGAGAAATACCAGATCCTGCCATAGCTCTCTTCCCCAGCCCCTAGAGGAAAGTTTCTTGTCCGTCTGTTCCTCAAGAGGTTAAAAATGACCTTTCCAAAGGAAGTGGGGCACCTCTGACTTGCTAGTGTCTCAGTGTTTCTTCACACTTCGTAATGGAAGTCAGGCTCCTTTTCTAGTTGAAAGTGTGCTGCCAGCTTTACCTAGTTTCCTCAGTCCTGCTCCTGACATGGCCTGATGGGGTGGAGGGATGCGCAGAGGAGGCTGGCACAGGAAGTATTTGTCACGGACGCTTCTTAGCATTCTCTCTCTCTCTCTTCTGCAGAGCTAGAGAAGCAGCTAGTAGCCCTCATCCCTTACGGGGACCAAAGGCTGAAGCCCAAACACACGTGAGTTTCCTATATCCGCGGGGGCTGCCTTACCTGTCTCTCCTCTTTTGATCTGATTTTTTTTTCCCCTGTTGGTTTTCATCCAGAAAGCCCAAGTCTCACTGTGCTCAAACTTACACTACCTTCCTGTTTCCAAGGATTGTCCTTGTTTAAGAGTATAGTGTCAAAAAACAAAACAAAACAAAACAAAATATAGTGTCTGAAGTTGGGATTGTAGCTCACTAATAGTGTGTTTGCTTAGTCAGCGTGAATGAGGCCCTGGGTTTTATATCTAGCAAAAAGAAGAAAAAAAAAAAAGATAAATGTCATAGTTTTGCTAACTACCTGTGTTTCACGATGTAGACAACAGAGACTGGAATATTATATCCCATAAATATGTACACTTATATGTTGGTCAAAATACAACTTAACAATTAAAAAAAAAAAAAAAAGCAGCATAGTTCATAGTAGAGATGAGCTGAGGCCACTCACGGATATGCCAAGCTTTCCAGGAGGAAACAAGTTACCCTGTTTGCAGCTACCTTTGCTCTAGCAATTTAGATCTTGCTTTCTTCCCAAGAGAGATTAGAAAGCAGCTAGTTGGACTTCTGTCCTGGGACAGTTCAGAACCTCAGAAGCAGCCCTGAGTTCCTGTGTGGAGTCACTGACCCTGTATGTGACAGCATCCATTTAACAAGGCTGCCTGTAACCTCCTCCACTGACCCTCAGCTTCCCCTGAGAGCTGTTGGCCAGCCTCCCTAGCTGCCCTACTAAAAGCAGAAACTATCCCAGGAGATGGTTCAGCAGGTTGAGGTGCTTGCTGCTCAGCCTGGAGTTCAAACCCCGCGACCCACATGGCAGGAGAGAACTAACTGCCACAAGTTGCCCTCTGGCCTCCACACACATGCTCTAGCACACACAAAGGAAATAAATAAGTAGAGCCGCGTGTGGTGGCACACATCTGTAATCCCAGCACTTAGGAGGCAGAGGCAGGTGGATCTCTGTGAGTTCAAGGCCAGCCTCGTCTACAAATCGAGTCCAGCAGCACAGCCAGGGCTACACAGAGAAACTGTCTCAAACAAACAAGTAAATAAATAAACAAATAAATATAATAAAATTAGAAACAAAGAAGCATATGGACTGGCTTCTAATGGTGATAGTAGCATTCACTGAGGTATTTTTTAATCATTTTTTACCTTTTTTTAATTAAATTTTTATTTTTTTTAATATTAGTTACAGTTTATGAACTTTGTATTCCCACTGAGGTATTTTTTTGTTTGGTTTGTGTTTTTTTTTTTTTTTTTTTTGAAATAGGGTTTTTCTGTGTAGCCTTGGCTGCCCTGGGCTCACTTTGTAGAACTCACAGTGATCCACCTGCCTCTGCCTCCCGGAGTACTGGGATCAAAGGCTTGGGCCACCATACCCTGGCTTCACTGAGGCCTTACTGTGTGCCTAGAGCAGTGATTGATTATTTTTCCCTCTGTTGACCCATAGGAAATTCTATGAAATAGATTAGTTATCTCCTCTTCACAGACATGCTTGGCTTTTTAAGAGGTTAAGTAGTGTCACTCAGCATTACATCAGTGGGGACAGGGAGCTGGGGATGGAAGCCAGGATGCCTGCCTTTGAACCCTGTGCCAAGCCACAGAGAGCTAAGTGTGCCTTGTTAGGCGATGTGCAAGAGAAAGCCACTTGTCTGGAGAGGAGGGTCTGAATCCCCTCCTCAGGTCTCGCTGGTGTTCAGACTTCTCTCCTCCATCCCGGGGGCCTGCTTTCACACAGGAAGCTCTCTGTGTGCCTGGCGGTGAGCATCTGCCTGCTGGCTTTCTCCCTCACCATCTTTTTCCTGTATCCACGGTCCATTGTCGTGCAGCCTGTAGGCCTCAACTCCTCCACGGTAGCCTTTGGTGAGAATCATGTACAGCTCAACATGACGGTAGGTGGAAGCTGCTCCTCCTGTCACTCCTGTCTTCTTCTCCACATCATCTCCATATAGTCCTAAAGGTGCAGGTACCAAGGGTCTTGTGGTATGCAGGAAATTCTGAGAGGCACCATGAGCTCCATAGTAGATGGTATGGGATTGGGACTCCACAGAGTGAAGAGGCAGAGTCTGGACCAGGTCAATCATAGGGAGGAATAAGGATGTCCAGAAAAAATGGAGAGAAATGGATAAGACTGGCTACTGAGCGGCTGGAGAGATAACAGTTAAGACCACTAGCTGCCGGAGGGGGTGAGGGGCCATTAGCTGCTCTTCTGGAGGACCAAAGTTCACTTCTCAGCACCCACAGCTCACAACGGTCTATAATCCAGCTCCAAGTGACTTGACACCCTCACACAGACATACGTGCAGGCAAAACACCAGTACACACAAAATAAAAATCAATCATTGAAAAAAAAAAAAGGCTGGCCAGGCAGTGGTAGCACACACCTTTAATTCCAGCACTTGGGAGACAGGAGCAAGCGGATCTCTGTTAAGCCAGCCTGGTCTACAGAGTAAGTTCCAGGACAGCCAGGGCTATACAGAGAAACTCTGTCTTGGGGGAAAGAAAACAAACCTGGAACCTGAGCCAACAAACCTTGATTGATTGATTGATTGATTGATTGATTGATTGATTGATAGGCTCTCACTATGTTGCCCAACATTGGTCTTAAATTCCTGGGTTCAAGTGATCCTCTTAGTCTCTAGGGTAATCAGGAGAGTAAGGGAGCACCACAGAACCCAGCTCAGTGTCTCGCCTTAAAGGTGACCTTTGCCATTAAGAGCCCCCAGAGTCGTCTGTAGGGAGGGCAGGATGGGACTCGGGCCAAAGCACCAGACTTCTGCATCTCCTCCCATTCTCCCTTCTGAAGGGGGGCCATCCTCACCATTTTCTGTCCTTGCCATCATCTCCAGAATGTGCTCAACATCTCCAACAGCAACTTCTATCCCATCACAGTCACATGGCTGACTGCCGAGGTGCTCCACCTGACCTCCGTGGTAGGACAAATCAACAGTAGCCTCCGCCTGCACATCGGCCCTTTGGCCAGTGAGCAGGTAACTCCCCTGTCCCTGGCCAGCCCTGCTTACAGGTACGTGGATGTTTGTGGTGGTAGAAAGGGGACAGCCTGACAACACACGCTAATCTTGTGTCCCTTTGACTGACAGGTGCCTTATGAAGTTGCCAACAGGATTTTGGATGAAAACACATAGTGAGTGCCCTCTGTTGTTCTCTTCGCTCCTACCCTCTTCCTTGGCTTAAAAACCCAGATAGCATTCACTGAGGGGCTGGTGAGGTAAAGATGTTTGCCACCCTGACCTGAATTTAATCTTCCAGTCTTCTGCGGTAGGAAAAGAGAACCCACTCCCACAAATTGTCCCTCGACATTCACACATATGCCATGACTTGAGTGTGCCTAAACACGCAGTATTTTTTTTTTGGTTTTTTAGACAGGGCTTTTCTGTGTAGCCCTGGCTATCCTGAAACTCAAGAGTTCCACTTGCTTGTGCCTCCTTAGTGGAGGATTTAAAGGTGTGAACCACCCCCCCCCCCCCAACAACAACTAAATGTATTTGTTTTGTTTTGTTTTTCGAGACAGGGTTTCTCTGTGTGTAGCCCTAGCTATCCTGGAACTCGATTTGTAGACCAGAATGGCCTTGAGCTCTCACAGAGATCCGCCTACCTCTTATAAATTTTTGTTTTGTTTTGTTTTTATAAATACCTGCTTTCTGATTACTGGTTTCCTGATTGCTCAGGAACTGGACTCAGGACTGCCCCTCGTGGCCAAGACAGCAATATGCAAGGGCAAAAGTCCACAGCCTCTTCTTCCTGTCAGACCTAGGTTAGACTAACAAGGTGGAGTTTTGTTAATCTTTATATGAGTTGGACTCTCTGAATCTCTGTGGAATAATATCTAGTTTTCGGCTGAGGCAGAGGCCCACGTATTCCTGGCACAAGAACATGGATGGCCAGGTGGCCAGGCTCATCTTAAAGGATAAAGGGTTAAGTAAGAGTGGCATCGTGAAGGCCCCTGAAGGGAGACAAGAAAACTGTATTGTGCCTTTTTTTTTTTTTTTTTGGTTTTGGATCTGCTTGCCTTTGCCTCCCCGAGTGCTGGGATTGAAGGCATGTGCCACCATGCCCAGCCGTGCTGTGACTTGTAAGTCCTCTCTTTAAGTTACCTGTCTACTCACTGTGAAACAAGGCTCAGTGTTTCCTTTCTCTCTCTCTCAGCAAAATCTGTACGTGGCTGAAAGTCAGGGTCCACCATATTCTTTTGAATATTCAGTAAGTATGGTGTGGAACTCCTGGGTCCCCGTTCTCACTTCAGTCCCACCTCAGTTACATTTCACGAGGTAGAGAGAGAGTTCCGGTAGCTGACATCATGAGTCTTTTTGGCAGTTCCAGGAAATAGCAACTCTGGGGCCCGATCCTATCTTGCTTATGATCCCTGTCTGGAGTTTCTAGAACACAGGTGGGACAGCTGTCCCAGAGTCCTGGCAGAGCAGAAGGAAGTGGGAGGGAGGTCCTGGGGAGCCAGCCTCACACACAGAGTAGGCCCAGGCCAAAGCTGTCCTTTCCCTCGCAGACTTCACAGCAAGCCCTGCTTCCCTCCTCTCCAGGGGTTCTCTGACCTGCTCCTACCTGAGCCATCCACAGCAGCTGCCCTTCGAGAGCTTCGAGTATGTGGACTGCAGGGAAAACATGTCAGTGCCCCACCAGGAGCTCCCTCGTCCAGCCTGACCTGTCTGCTGCCTCTGTACTCCAGGCACCTGCAGGCTGGTCTGCGGCTCATTTCCATGGATCGCAAGGATGGACTGTAGTGACTTTGCTGAAGGAAAAGTTCTGCTTTGTTATCCCGTAGCACATGGAACTTCTGTAACTATGTCATAGGCCCTGACTCCTCAGATCCCCTGAGTCACGTCTGACTGATCTTACCCATGCTCTGTGTTGAGGTGGGTCTTCAGAGAAAGCCTTAGTTTTATTGAGACATACAGCATGGGTGGACCCTTTCAAGTGCTTCTCCCAGTAAGAAGTGGTTTTGAGGACATCCAGTGCTGTCTCCAAGGTCTTTTTTAGGTGACTATAAATGTTCTCTGTTGCTTTGGTCAGGTGATAGAGATGGTGGTGACCTATCTCTCAGTAAGTGGTCCCTCCCCTACAAGCTATCCGGATGAGGGACCATAAGGTCCTCATCCTTCCTGGTTCAGGACAGTGTTTCTGGTTTCCAGGAAGGCAGAGTACTTCATCTAAACCTCTTCCCTATAGAACAGCTCTAAAGCCAAGTAGCTGCGGAGGAGCTGTCTGGTCTACCCTAGATCAAAGGCAGAGTCATTTGAAAGGGTATTTATTAAAGTTTCTAAGCCCACAATCCCAAGCCCATGTGTGTGGGCACAGTACGTAGAGTAGGCCCAGTGACTGTATTCAGAAAGTCTGAAGGCCATGAAACGGTTGATGTCAGGCCAAAGCTGTGGGGCTCCCATGGATTCTCTGCACCCGGCCCACCCTCTGTTCCCAAGGCCTCTGCTGTTCTCTGGGCTTTGACTGTGAATAGTGACAGATTCACCAGAACTGGGGTAGATCCTTGCCTGTCACTGCACTGGAGCCAAATCCCACATAACTCCGAATTTCCCACCGGACTCTACGTAGAGATGAGATCTGTATTACAGGAGGGCAGGAATGTTTGTTCGCTAAACTAGCTACCCTTGGCCCTTCAGACAGGTGGTGTGGTAAGAAGCTTATGAGGCAGTAATGGTAACAGAACTATATAGCTAGACTCAGGCCGCAAGGAGGGAAAGTCTATTGTCCCAAGCTTTCCCCCCTGAGTAGCCAGGGTTAAGGTATACCAACAAAACACAGAGTCTCAGGGAGGTCAAGCCGAGGTCTTGGGGTATAAACCATCAAATGTAAAAGATTTCTATCAATAAACTATTTAGCAATGCTAAAGGAAAAAAAAGGGTTTTCCTGGGCAGGAAAGTGAGGGTGCCGGCGCTCACAAGCCATTTGATTTTGTGTGTGCGTGCGTGTGGAGGTCAGGGCACAACCTTGGGGGTCCATCTTTGGGTACTATCCTTTTTTAAAATGTATTATTTTGAGACAGGGTCTCGCTGTGGAGCCCTGGCTGCCCTGGAACTAGTTAGGCCAGGCTTGTCTCAAACGCACAGAGATCTGCCTGCCACTACCTTCCTAGGGCTGGAAGTAAGGGCATGTGCCATTGTGCCACGCACTATCCTTTAAAAAAAAAATCAAGTTCCAAGTTATCTACCTTTCTCCACCTCTCTAGTGCTGGTATTGCCTGTGCCACCATGCCCAGCTTTTTTTACATGGTTTCTGAGTGTTAAACTAGGCCTTTGTACTTGCGAGATGAGAGCACTTTACCAACTGGCTACCTCCCCAGGTTTCAAAGCTTTCATGTTGATAAGCATGTAGGCTTCTAAGACCTTTTGAAACAAGTTCTGCTTCTCTGGCTTCTGAAAGAGTATCCCACAGAGGCTTGCTCTTTCTTCCACTGTGTATCCCTAAACCATCTTTGAACTTTAATAATCCTGTTCAAGCCGCATACTCTCCCAGCTGTCCCACTCAGGGATCATCTCTAGACTACATTAAGACACTAAGACACGGCTCTTGACCCGGAGGTGATGCCCCATGGACGAATGAAATGACCCACTGGTCCCCAGTTGTGACGGAGGGGCCCTGTCTCAGAATTGGAGCAGAAAGGACTTTATAGGATTTGTCTTCCTCGAGGCAGATACTGAGGGTCCCTAGCCCTGCCTCCTCTTCCAGCTGGTAAAGGGAGACCTGGAGTTTTTGGAGTCTTCTGGCCCTCTGCTAAGTGGAAAGTGTGACACCCAGAAGTAAAGAGGCCTGAGGACTTCAGTAGGCAAGCTTATGCCCCTTTCCAAGGTCACATGTCCTGAGCCCAGTGATGCAGCACCTCTCTCTCCTGAAATTTCTCACCTTCATCCCACATCTCCTCCCTCACGGCTCAATGCCTTGCGTGGATCCAGACTTGTATAAGGCTAAGACGTTCCTATCTATGGGACACCCCCCCCCTTTCTACTACTGCTCTATTGAATTGCAGCCCCTCCCTCAGGCTGTATCTGAGTAAGCGCTGGCTCTGATCTAGTGATGGCTATTTACAAACTGAGGAGCCTGTCCTTGCCAGATGAGGAACGGTAGTAGAAGTTGTAGGTGCAAGCTTGCGATGGGGGTGGGGGTTCAAGACCACATTCTCCCCAGGCTTGGCCTCAAACTCAAATAGCATGGGCTTGCCTTCTACTCTCTTGCATCCTCTCTACCTCCATTGTGGGCCCTCCTCCCTCATTCAGCTGACCAAAAATCCTTGTTCTTCCCCAGAATCAGATTTTAATCCCAACGAGCCTCCTTTCCAAATGTGGCTGGTTGTTTGGAGTAGAAAGGTTGCTGGATGAAAGAAAGCGTGGTTGCTGTTGGTCTTTTTTTGTTTGTTTGTTTGGATTTTGGGTTTTGTTATTTTGTTTTGGGGGGTTGTTTTTGCTTTGCGGTATCATCGAATCTTGGAGCCCATCTCTGGATCACCACTGCTGGATGTAATTAGTCGACTAGGAAAAAGGAGAGACAGGAAGCAAAACGAGTTAATTGTTTCTGGGTGTGCTGCTTTCAGAATACTGGGTTAAGCCTCTGAGACCAGAAGAATCGAAGTGAAATAAAACAGAACAGCTGCTCCTCCACCTAAAGCCTCAGAGAAACTGCACAGGTGCCCTCGCTTTGGTAGCTGTACCGGACTCCTGCCATTTTAAATTCTGATTAGGAGTTAGGGGCTGGCAGTCTGGCCTGATGGCTCAAGCCTGTAATCTCAGCTGCTGGGGAACCTGAAGTGGAAGTTGACAAGTTCAAGGCTTGCCTGGGGTACAGAGTGACTTCACAGTGAGCCTGGGAAAGTTAACAAGATCCTGCCTCAGAATGAAAGATTAGGAAAGCTGGAGAGATGGCCCAGCAGTAAGAGTACCTGCTGAGGCCCGGTGGTGGTAGCACACACCTTTAATTTCAGCACTAGGGGAGTAGAGGCAGGTGGATCTCTGAGTTCAAGGCCAGCCTGGTATACAGAGTGAGTTCCAGAACAGCCAGGGCTACATAGAGAAACCCTGTCTTGAAGAAAGGAAAAAAAAAAAAAAAATGCTTGCTGATTTTGCAGAGAACCAAAGTTCTGTTTCCAGCACCCACATAAGATAGCTCACAACCATCTGTAACTCCAGCTCCAGGGGATCCATTGCTAGCTTTTGGCCTCCTCAGATACCCACACCATATATAAACACATGTAAGTATCCACTTTTTTTAAGTTAAGAAAAAAAAAAAAGTACAAGGAGGGTGGAGTAGGCAGGGACGCTAGCTCAGATATAGAGCTCTTGACTAGCCATGCATAAGGCCCTAGGTTCAATCCCCAGTACCACAAAAATAACTTCAAAACAAAACCCAGAAGTGACTGGAATGATTCCAGTCCTCTCCCTGGACTCCTTGCTAAGGAATCCTCCTTGACCTCCACAGGCACACAAGGACCTGCACTCAGTCACTCAGCCAGAGCCCCTTTGCGCCTCTCACCGTGAATCGGGAATATTTAGAAGAGCTACACTGGCTTTCGTTCCTCAGACCTGAAAAGACAAAGCACGAGTCACTCATCCAGCAGTTGCTAAGGAGGCCCGGTGGGTTGGGAGTAGGCGCTTTCTGGGGCTAGGGCACAGACTGAACCTACCCTGAAGAACCTCCACTATTGTGTAGTTCCCTGTTCCAGACTTCAAGGGCTCATCCCCACCTTCTCTGCCATACCCTAGAAAAGAGGCTGCCGCTGCCTTCCCAGTCGCTCTATTGAGAAAGCTCCTTTGCTGCCCTAGATTGGAGCAAATCCATCCAGAGGGAGGAAAGGCCACTTGGGCTGTTAGAGGCCAACGGTGCTGAGAAGGGGTTGGACGGGCCAGGGGCCAATAGAACTTCGCAACTACAGTGCTGGAAGGGGTTCAAGGGGTCGCTCCGCTCCCCACCTCCCCTCCCAGGCGGCACACTCAGCCACTCACCGTAACCCGGAAGGATTGGAGGTCCACGCCCACTACAGGATTTCTGACCATCTTGTTGGGTCCCTGCTGGTCTAGTCTGGGGTCTTTGCCTTTGGGTGTCGTTCTGGAGGCTACCTTTGCAGGTGATCTGAATGGAAGTGTCTTGCTCCTTTTGTGACTTTGGCCCAGGTGTTGGCGGTGGCGGTGGCGGTGGCAGTGGCTGTGGCTGTGGCGGCTGTGGCTGTGGCCGTGCAGGTGGTAGCCCTTTTGAATCCTGATGTGGCATACATGTTTTCTCAAAATGCTGTTTCTTCTCTTCCAGGTTTTTTATTTCCTAGCAAGAAAACCCCAGCAAATGACATCCTCTCCTCTCACCCAGTCACTCATCTGCGAGACAAACTGAGCGGTGGAGCAAGGGAATACAAGAGAGGAGCTTAGTCTGCCGGAAGTGTCTCTATCCCCTAGAGTTAGAGGCTGGAGGTAGGGCCTAGGCTGTTTCCATTCTCTGCAGCCAAGGCATGGCTCTGAATGTCTGTGCTCCCTTGCTCAATTCGTGTCCCAGGAAGTGGGCCTATCTACTAGGCACAGACCAAACCTACCCTGAAGAGTCTCCACCAGGAAGCCATTCTGTGGGTCCCAGTTCCAGATTTTACAGGGCTCAAGTTTTATCTGCTGATGGTCTATAACATCCCCACCTTCTCTGCCACAGCTCTAGAAAAAAGGCTGAAGTGCGGGGCGTGGTGGCACACCCCTTTAATCCCAGCACTTGGGGAAGCACATCAGGACAGGGTACACAGAGAAACCCCTGTCTTGGGAAAAAACAAAACAAAAAAAAAAAGGCCGATGGAGGCTTTCCCAGTCACTCTAGTCAGAAGCTTCAGTTCCTGCGCACAGGCCCTTGTCTATTATGTTGGAACTTGGCACTGAGTAGGTCCTGGGGCTGGAGAAATGGCTTCAGGGGGCATATATTACTCTTCCAGAGTCCCCGCCACCCAGACCAGCAGTTCACAGCTGCCTGTAAATCCAGCTCCAGGGTTTATTAAATATATTAAGACAGGCTTGCCGTGGTGGTATATATGATGGCACATACTTGTCATTCCAGAACTTGGGAAGTAGAGGCAGGAGGATTGCCACAAGCTAGAGGCCACCACCCCATGAGTGCTGAGAATCAAACCTGGGTCCCTCTGGAAGAGTAGCCAGTGTCCTCCCCAGCCCGTTTTTATATCTTTGGTTTGTGTGTGTGTGAGGAGGGGTATGTGCATGTGAGTTGCAGTGCCTGTGGAGCTGGACATGCGTGCTGGAGCAGGAACTTGGGTCTTCTGGAAGAGTAGTGTATGTACTCGTCACCACTTCATCATCTCTCCAGCCACAAGGACACTGAATTGTTTTTTTTTCTCTCTCTCTCTCTTTTTTTGTTTTGTTTTGTTTTTTTGAGACAGGGTTTCTCTGTGTACCCTTGGCTGTCCTGGACTCACTTTGTAGACCAGGCTGGCCTCCAACTCACAGGGATCTGCCTGCCTCTGCCTCCCAAGTGCTGGGATTAAAGGCATGTGCCACCAACACCCAGCTGGACACTGGATTTTTATTAAAAGCGTTTGCACTCAGGGCCTAGAAAGATGGCTCAGCAATGAAGAGTGTTTGCTGTCCTTCGAGAGGACCCACATTAAGTTTCCAGCACATCAGGCAGCTCACAAACACTTATAACTCTAGCTTCAAGGGATTTGATACCTTCATTTGACCCCGTAAGGGCACGAAATAAATCTAGGGGACTGGAGAGACAGCTCAGTGGTTAAGAGCACTGGCTACTATTCTATGGGACCTGGGTTCAATTCCAAGCACCATTTGACAGTACACAACTGTAATGGCAGTGTTGGGAACCAAAACCCTCTCCTGGCCTCCAGTGGCACCAGGCACATACACTGTGCACAGACATACGTGTAAGCAAAGCCCCTACATACAAAAATCTTACATGTATATCCATAAGCAGGTGTGGTGGAATACACCTTTAATCCCAGTCCTCCAGCAGAGGCAGGTGGATCTCAATGAGTTGAAGTCTAGTCTGGTCTACATAGTAAACTCTAGGTTAACTAAAGCTACAATATCCGGCAGCACAGGTTTTAGGCCATGAAAAAACACACTACTTTCAGCTAGGCACTAGGAGGCTGAGGTTGGAGGATCTTTTGAGCCCCAAAGTTCACAGTCAACCCAGGCAACTGAGTGAGACCTCATCTCTTCAAACAGATACCCTCTTGGCCATAATCTCTCTCTCCACCAGCCTACAGCAGGATGACTGAGTTAGCTGGCCTCCTACAGCAGCCCACAAGCCAGCAGTCCACTTCCTAGGGAGTCTGTCACAAGTCCCCATTCACTCATGCCCCACCTCGGACCCTGAAGGTCCAAGCTCAGCTCATGAACTTACCTGCTCTCGTTGCTGCTCTATCAGTTTCTTCCTCCGTTCCAAAGCCATCTGCCGTCGCCGAGCTTCCCAGTGGTAGGCGCTCCCCATGATGGTGTGGTGATAGAAAGCCTCAGCAGGATGTGAGGGCAGGAAGAGCCCTAGATGCCACTGCCCAGAGGCCTCTTTTGCCTCCCACCCCAGCCCCACCACATGGCCTATTACCCTGACCGGATCACCTCACAATGTGGCCACTGTCAGGGCAACTGAGCAACTCCCCCTGAAGTATTGGAGGTTGAGATCATTCTTCCCAAGGCTCATGGGAGCATTTGTAAGTCCTTTCAGAGTCATGAGAAGAAAAGAGATACAATCCCTCCTCAGCCTGGGGTCTCAGTAGACCCTGGAGACAATAAAACTTGGGCATTTGAGTCTCCGGAGGGACTTGCCAAGAGGCTTCCGGCAGTAGCACCTGACCCTCTGATGGCCCTTCCCTCCTCACAAGCTGTCTGGAGTTACCTTTCCCTCACTCTTCCATCTCTCCTATCTCACTGTCCTTCCAGTAACGGTTAGCATTGAGTTGAGATGAAAGAAAATGTAAACCCTAACTGAGTTTCACTGTGGAGGGGCAAGAATGGAGTAGCCTGTAATTGAGCTGTTTGTGGTGGGACCACCTTGATGGAAATTTAATCCTGGTTGTGTCACCTACTGAGCTGAGGGAACTTGAGCAGGCCACTCAGTGTCCAGGAGCCTGCCCTGTAAAGGATGCTGGTGTTGGCCTACTTTTTAAAAACTTTTATTTACATTTTTTATATCTCTCCCCACTCCACCCCAATCCCTTCCAACACCCCAATTCCTTCCAACATCCCAATCCCTT